CCCTTCCCAGCGAATTTAAATGTTGGAAACTGTTCTGGAGTGTACGCAAGATGACCCTTCCCAGTAAATTCAGACACTGACAGTGGTTTTGGAGTGTACGCAAGATGACCCTTCCCAGTAAATTCAAACACTGACACTGGTTTTGGAGTGTACGCAAGATGACCCTTCCCAGTGAATTTAAATGTTGGAAACTATTCTGGAGTGCAACGCAAGATGACCCTTTCCAGTAAATTCAGACACTGACAGTGGTTTTGGAGTGTACGCAAGATGACCCTTCCCAGTAAATTCAAACACTGACACTGGTTTTGGAGTGTACGCAAGATGACCCTTCCCAGTGAATTTAAATGTTGGAAACTATTCTGGAGTGCAACGCAAGATGACCCTTTCCAGTAAATTCAGACACTGACAGTGGTTTTGGAGTGTACGCAAGATGACCCTTCCCAGTAAATTCAAACACTTACAGTGGCTTTGGAGTACAAAGCAGGATGACACTACCCAGTAAACTGAAACACTGACAGTGGTTTTAGAGTACAAAGCAAGATAACCCTACGCAGTAAATTGAAACACTAACAGTGGTTTTGAAGTATAAAGCAAGACGTATCTGATAGCTTTCTGAGTGCCTTGAAACAGTCATGTCCTGGTTTATTTTCCAATGCGCATGCCTTTCTGGTTGGTGGTGGCACCCTACCAGTCGGCAGTTGCGAAGCTGAGCGCTCGTTTTGTGTTTAAAACACATCAAAGCATTTCTCAGAAACAGAACGAACGAAGAAAGGCTATCGGCATTGACTCTTACGAATCTGACTTACGATTCTCCCATTGATTATGATAAGCCTTTCAGCTGATCTGGTTTTGGATTGGTTTGAATTTCGCGCAAAACTACACGAGGGCTACCGTTAGGGCACTCGACTCGCAATCTGAGGGTCGCGGGTTCGAATCCCCGTTCCACCAAACATGCTCGCCCTTTCAGCCGTGGAGGCGTTATAACGCAACGGTCAATCCCACTATTCGTTGGTAAAAGAGTAGCCCAAGAGTTGGCGGTGGGTGGTGATGACTAGCTGCCTTCCCTCTAGTCTTACATTGCTAAATTAGGGACGGCTAGCGCAGATAGCCCTCGTGTAGCTTCAAAACAAACAAACAATGTTTTAATTGCAAGACAGATCGAGAAAGATATATAGATTATCATCGAGTGTGTCTTCTGATTCTTGTTCAATAAATAACAATAGCTGGTATACTGTTGTTGTTCTTACGTCATAAGCAGTACTGCTTAATGACTTTGGTAATATAGATAGAGCAGTGAGCACAATCAACATCATTTATCACATCTATTTTTAAACATTGGATACCCCTATCTTCAAAATTCTGGATACGACCCTGAAATTATATAAGGAAAATGACATCTATTGAATCGAGAAACTTACAGTGTTAAAATACTGTTGTTAAAGTGACAGGTAATTCATTAAATACAGTCAACAGTTGAATTTGTTAAAGTTGAATTAACAACACACCATATGTTAATATACATCCGAGTCAAGAGTACACCATACGTTAATACACATCTGAGTCAACAGTACACTAAGAACATAATGACGTTTTCTCAACAGTACATCATACATACATAGTTATGTCAACAGTATATAATTTATGTATTTTTACAAAGCAGTCAACAATAAACCCTGTTTGAGTTTCAGAAACATCGTCTATATACGTCTCATTATTATACGCTAGAGAAAGACTCCCGCCATCAAACACGAGCAGAACATGTAAATTCCAGATCACTGTTAGCTAGCCAGAGTTATTCCACTGTAAACAGGATTGTCGTACAGGTAAATCAGGTAGGGATATCCAACAGAACAGAAGTGTACGACCGTTTCCACCATCCCCTTCCCCAAAAAGTTGAAAAGGTAAAAGTTTGGAGTAACGAAGAAAAACTTTATTACAAATGTACGACGTTTCGACAAGATTATGTCAACTTTACGTGCAAGTTTTCAAATGGATTCCAAAAAAAACCAAAAAAAACTCTTCTTTACTGACCCGAATGTCAACCGAAGCACTCTTTTTTGATGGTCAAGTAGTCAAGTAGAAATTTGAGTGGACCGCCAACTCGGTCGACGTGTCTGTAATTTCCATTCGTGTTTTTTAACACTTTACCTTGAATAAATCTAACACTATAAACGCGTTTGTTTAACAAGTAAGTATACCGCGCATGAGAGGAAAACCAAACGGTTTTGGCGTTTAAGTATATATTTTTTATCGTACCAAAGGACAATGTAAAATACGATACGTGTTTTGTTGTTGTTCAGTTTTCTAGCCCCCCTGTTGACCGTATCGTGTTTTTTTTTTATTTATTTAAGTGAAATAAGCATTACTAAAACTTTTAAAAGTAGAAAAAAAAAATCAGCACCGAAATCCAGTGTTAGAAAGATTCTAATTACTTGTTTCTATGGTTACAACAACACGCAATATTATAAAATAAACATTGTAAACCAAATCAAAACGTTTACATATTCTTAAGAGTTGAACTGATATTTCAATAATTATCAAAAGTCGTCCCTAATTTTTGGACTGATAAACTAGAGGGAAGGCAGCTGACTTGGTCAGCAGCACCCGCCGTCCTCTCTTGGGCTACTCTAATCGACTTTGACCGTCACTCTGATAATACATCCACGATCCCAAAGTGCAAACCCCAATTCTACAGTAGCAGGACATAAACCAGAACCCTCGGATAAATTCAATCCGCCACGCTAACCACTAGGCCACGCCTGGCCCTATTATCAAAAGATTAGGAGAACTTGACATGGCCCCGAACGTAAGGTATTAAAGCTAAATACTACTGAACTCTTACAAACATTCGGAAGTAAAAATGAAAATCCCAAGTACTCAAAGTCATAGTATTCCAAGTACTCAAAGTCATAGTATTCCAAGTACTCAAAGTCATAGCATTCCAATTACTCAAAGTCATAGTATTCCAAGTACTCAAAGTCATAGTATTCCAAGCACTCAAAGTCACAATATTCCAAGTACTCAAAGTCATAGTATTCCAAGCACTCAAAGTCACAATATTCCAAGTACTCAAAGTCATAGTATTCCAAGTACTAAAAATCATAGTATTCCAAGTACTCAAAGTCATAGTATTCCAAGTACTCAAAGTCATAGTATTCCAAGCACTCAAAGTCACAATATTCCAAGTACTCAAAGTCATAGTATTCCAAGCACTCAAAGTCACAATATTCCAAGTACTCAAAGTCATAGTATTCCAAGTACTCAAAATCATAGTATTCCAAGTACTCAAAATCATAGTATTCCAAGTACTCAAAGTCATAGCATTCCA